TACCCTATATAGTTCTACAAACAAGATGGATAAGAGAAAAAAATATTGTTGACAAAAGAAACTTAGTTTGTGAATACTGTAAAAGAAAAGGTCATACCAAAGATACATGTTTTAAACTTCATGGAGTTCCTACTTAGGAAAAAGAATTACAGGAGAAAAAAAGCCATCATATTAATAATGTGATAACTAATTCATCCAGAGGAAATTTAGGCACCAATACTAATTAAGGAAATCTTGAGGCAATGGTTGAAGCTGCTGTGAAAAAATTATTTCTCTCTAAGAACACATCATCTGATGGACCAGCGGATTTCTGTAATTCCATCCTTGAATACTCTGGTAATGTCTCTCTCTCTAGCACTATAGTTTTAAATGAGTGTACTTGGCTAATTGACAATGGAGCATCTTGCCGCATTTGCAAAACCTTAAACACCCTGTTTGATCTCAACCAAGTACTTAATAAACCCCAAATTATGCTTGCCAATGGCATCATCATATATCCCTCGTATATTGGTTCTGTTTATCTCACACATAATATCACAATTCACAATGTCTTTTACATTCATGAATTACAATACAATCTTCTCTCCGTCAGCATGAAAAAGTTGTTGTTGTGGGACAAAGAGTGGGCAACCTATACACTCTAAATCTCAATCCTGGGTCAACTTCCACCTATACCTCCCAAATGATAAATGATGCTTCCTCATCTCCATCACCATCAGAGTTATGGCACATTAGACTTGGATACCCTTCTCAACAGACATTAAAGCACATCAACATACAACCCAAGATGTCTTCATCTGATATTCCTTGTGACATTTGCTATAAAGCAAAACAACATCGCAAACCTTTTCATAACAACACTTCATCTATCTATTCTTGCTTTGAATTGGTACATGGTGACTTGTGGGGTCCTTTCAAAACCCCAACTCTTACTGGTTGCTCTTATTTCCTTACTTTAGTTGATGATTTCTTTAGAGCTTTATGGATTTTCTTACTTTATAATAAACAAAAGATCTCTAATGTTCTTACAGATTTTTTCTCTCAAATATCTACTTAATATGGTGTCTCTGTCAAAAAATTCAGAACTGACAATGGGGGGAATTTATTGGTACAACTTGTCAAGCCATTTTTCATAAACTTGGCATTATCCATCAACACTCATGTCCTTATAGTCCCCAACAAAATGGCCATGTAGAACTCAAGCACAAACACCTATTACAAATCACTAGAGCACTTCTTTTTCAAGACAACTTACCTAACCGTTTTTGGGAGAAGTCTTGTTTTATTCTTCTTGTTTACTCAATAGATTACCCTCTAAAACCTTAGAATGGATCTCACCTTATGAGAAATTTCACAATATATCACTTGATCTTACCTTTTTCAAATCTTTTAGCTGCCTAGCATATGCTTTGAATGTATAACCCCGCAAGAATAAACTTAGTCCTAGATCAGCTAAATGCATATTTCTTGGCCTACAACCAGGGGTTAAAGGTTTCAAATTGTACAATCTGGATACTTTAAAGTATGCATCACTAGAGATGTACTATTTCATGAAAATATATTCCCATTCTCTTATCCCTCATCTACTCCAAAGTCACCAGTACCTTCCAATTCTCCTCTCATTTCTTACTCCAATCCATCTCATATCCTTTTACTTTAGCAATGTCTCTCCATGACCATTTCAAATTCCCTACTTCCTTCAGCTCTTAATCCTGAGGTGTCCAACCCTATTGTGCCTACTTCTCCTACCTTCACTTCTCCTTCACAATCTAATATTTCTCATATTCCTTTAGAACCTCATAATAGGCCTGTAAAACAAACAAGAAAACCAGCATGGCTGAATGATTTTATATGTTCCACAGTTCATCCCTTACCTCCTACTACTTTGTAGTTGTGGCATGGTGTTTCCTCTGTTGACTTCCAAGTACCTTCAATATATTCTCAAACTAGTAAAGAAGAACACTAGAGGAAAACAATGGATGATGAATTATAGGCCCTCTATGCCAATCAAACTTGGGAGTTTGCACCCTTACCTGAAGGTGTCAAACCAAAATCGTGCAAGTGGATTTATAGAATAAAAACCAATGCCGATGGATCTTTTCAATGTTGCAAAGCCTGATTAGTAGCTAAAGGTTTTCTCCAAGTTCCGGGGAAAGATTACACTGATTATTTTGCCCCTGTGGCAAAACCAGTAACTGTACGAATATTACTAACCCTTGCTGCTACTAGAAAATGGAGAATCCACCAACTTGATGTCAACAATGCATTCTTACATGGTTGGTTGGATGAAGAATTGTATATGGTACCTCCTCACGGATGCCTAACACCCCCTGCTTTGGTTTGCAAGCTTAAACGTTCTCTTTATGGCCTAAAACAGGTCCCTCGTCAATGGTATAAGGAATTTTTGTCAAAGTTGATCTCCTTTGGCTTCATCAGATCATCTCATGATCATTGCTTATTCACTCTCAGCTTCAATGCCCATTTTATTATTCTTCTGATATGACAAAGCTTATACTATTATGAACCTTGGAACAACATATCTCTTCTTGGGAATACAGGTTTAACACTCTTCTCATGGCTTAATTATCTCTCAAGACAAATTTCTTTTGGATATACTTACAGAATCTGGAATGCTTCACTCTAATCCTGCTGCCACACCTACTGCTTTGGAAAACAAGCTTCAAGCCAAAGTTGGTACTCCTCTATCATTTTCTCAAGCCTCACAATTTCGAAGATTAATTGGTCGAGTATTATATCTCACCATGACTCGACCAGATATTACTTTCGCTGTTAAACAACTCTCACAATTTATTGCTGAACCCACATCTCAATATTGGAACGCCATCCAACATCTTCTCAAATATCTTAGAGGCAGCATTGGAGCTAAGCTATTCTTCCCCTCACCATCTACTTTAGCCCTATCTGTCTATTCAGATGTTGATTGGGGTTTGCTGCCTGGACACTCGAAAATCATTAACCGGGTTCTGCATTTACTTGGGTGATTGCTTTATCTCTTGGAAATAAAAGAAGCAACCAACTGTATCTTGCTCCTCAACTGAAGTAGAATTTTGCGCGCTAGCTACCTCTGTTTCTGAACTTCTTTGGATCACATATCTGCTTCAGGATTTTTGCATGTTTGTTATCACTCCAATACCATTACATTGTGATAACCTTTCTACTATCCATTTGGTCAAAAATCCGGTTCACCACGAGCGATCGAAACATATTGACATTGATTGTTAGTTTGTTCGACAACATTTCACTCAAGGACTCCTACACTTAGTTCACATTTCTACCACCGACCATATTGTAGATGTCTTTACCAAAGCTCTTGGCCCCTCCATTTTTGCTCGATTTTTATCCAAGCTTAACTTGGTGACCCCCAAGTTTGCGCTTGAGGGGGGGGGGGATGATGGATGATGATGATGATGATAACGTTGCTATTGTTGGACTTTAAGAAAATAGTTAATATTTTGGGTTTTTCTATGTAATTATATCATATTAGTTAGCTAGGGTCCATTAATTGTGTTATAGCCCATCTAATATCATATATATATATATATATGCATAGTTAGAAAACTGTAAAAATAATTTAGTTCAATTGTATTCTGAAAGCCTTAAAGCCTAACCGTATTCCTCTGGTTCTTCTTTTCTTTCAAGAAATTCTACAATTTCTTTAGAGGATGAAAATGATAACTGCAGTGATAGGTGAATGATGTTACTTTATAATATTTTATAAAATTTCTACTATTCATAAAAAAAATAAAATTTCCCTAAAATATCAAATTTCAAATCTACTTGTCACTTTTTTATATTATATTATATTAAAAATTAATTTTACATTCAAAATACTGTATTAATATTTATTTATATTACACCATACAATTATTCAAATTTAAAATTATTACTATTCAAATTCCAAATCAAAATCCAATCCTCAAACCAACACACCCAAATGAAATGAAAGAATAAAGATTTAAAAAAAAAAATTGATAAGAAAAAAATTAAAAAAAAAAAGAAAAGAAAAGAAGAAGAGGGAACGAGCGGTTGTGGATGTGACAGTACAATTAGAGTAGAAGTAGCGGCTTGAAGATCGACTACTTAACCGTTTGACTCCCGATCTTATATTTTCCGTTGACGATTTTTCGGCTCGCAACAGCTATCCTTTCCAGGGTCAAAAATTCGACAGGCTTGAAGAAAGATTGATGCAGGTGAGGCCGCATCAAAGTTATTTGTGACTTCATTTTCTCTCTCTAACATGGTTGTGTTCTTTATATACATATATATGTATGTGGATGTGTTTAAAAATATACAACACTTTATTTTTTAAACACATATTAAATACTCTTTTTCCGTTAAAATTAGTTCATTTGGATCTGATACGAAAATTTTAAAAAATATATATTTTATTGAAAAAATGATAAAAGTAAAATGATAGTAAAAAATATTTTTAAAAATTTAATTAGAAATTAAAATAAACAAAGAAATAGTATAATAAAGATAGTAATATTTATTATAAATAATTATTAATGAAGCTTAATAATTAAATATTATTTTTTTAAACTTGTCAAAATTAGTAATAAGTTAAATTTACTAGACGAAGAGAATATTAGTTTATATCATAATACTAATAAAATTATTTTTATTATTTTATTTAATTTGTAACTCAAATTCTAAATTTACTTTAAATAGTGAATACTCCATCCATTTCAGTTTTTTTTTTTTTTTGTAATTTTGTTGTAAATTAAAAAATAATAGTAATATTTTATTAATTATTGATAGTGTGTATAAAATTTTGATATTTTTATATTTAAAATAATTGTATGAATAATGATATATTTATAATTTAAATAAAAATTAAAATAATATTTTAGTATTAAATTAATGTTAGTTCTACGTATACTTTGTAGTATTATTAAAAAAAAAAAAAAGAAAAAAAAAGGAGGTTAATTTGAGTTGGGACTTATGAAGAACTTTTTATATATAGGGAGTGTGGCAGAGCTGCCTGCCCCTCCCTCACCTGAGAGGAAAGCCTTTTCACGTGACGCCTCAGTTTCTTTTCGATTTCCGCAATTCGACCTTGTTGCCAACCGCAACCGCAACCGCAGCTTGGAATGGAGGACGACAGGATAGGCCTGGTTTTGGCCAAAACTGCGGAGTTGAGGTCGAGGATTGTCAGTAGCATCCGCAAATCAACGGATGAGTTAGGAGGGAAGGCAAGCGAGTCGAAGGAATTACAAGTAGGGACGCCTGTGGAAAACCGGGAAGACGACGAAACCGAGAGTCTTATCAATGTTAAGGACGCTCTTGAATCCATCGAAGGACTGCTCTCTTCTCTGCAGGTCCCTTTAGTTTTATTATCTTTTGAAATATTGGAACTTAATTGTACGTTTTGCAATTGAGTTGCGAGGAGGGCGAATAGCCAGTTTTTGAATTTTCAGATTCGATTCTGTTTATCGGGGCTTGAGGTATGTATATTCAGGTGACTAGGTGACTGTTGAGTTTAGGGTTCGAGTAAAACTACTTTCCCTCCAAATTTCCGCCATTGTCATTCTCTTCTTACTTATTTGCTCCGGATTTTGTTTCCTCAAATGTGTTGATTTTCATCTAGGTTCGAAGCAAAATGTGGAAAATTCCAACTGTGGAGGTTTTCATTACTTAGTAAAAATACTTGTAAAGCATAATTGGGATATTATGATTACGATGCTGCAGCGAATTGTAGATGAATCGTATTATAGAATATAGAATCTATCGTTTGACTTGCTGATTGGCTTATTGGCGGAATTCCTTTACAAGCTACGCTACGTAACGAGAGGTTCTATGAATCTAATCAAATCCTACGGCGAATTAATCATATGTAGGATGGAAAAGTTCGTTCGATTTATTTCCCCCTTTGTAAATCAGCCTCTTGATGTGTTCTGACTAGGTTAGTTTGATAAATCTGTAATGCTTTACACGCAGCTTCGGTTTCTTACTTATCTTCTTCCAAGAAGTTTGGTGCATTGTCCCTTTCTAAGACTGGATCTCAATACAAAATTACTGAGTTGTTTTGCTTTTATATTTTTCAACGCATTCACGTTGAAGTTGTGCATAACGTGGGAAGTGCGGCGAAGCATTATCTGAGCTTTCTAATTACTTCATTTGTGTTTGCTTTACCTATTTGCTTTTTGCTAGGTTTCCATTGATAGACCTCACATTGTTCACTTGTCAATCCTAGTTTGATACTCTCTAAGGTTGACGCGATTGTCACCCGTTTCTTGATATATTTACTTTCAGTTTTATTATAAAGTGCAGCATATGATTATTTAATCAAATTGGATTATATTATCCCAAATGGTACGGTTGTTTCATACTAGTTTATAATTTGATTGACACCTTACGATACTGAAAATATCTCTGTTCAATGTCATCCATTCAGTGGCTAAAGATTTGACTTCTGATTCGTGCAGGATCTTCAGCAACGACAATGGTGTGCCAAGGAATCTGCCTTGGTCGAGATCGAGTACAGCCGCAAGAAGCTGCTCAACGAGCTGAAGGAATACAAAGGCAAGGATTCAGAAGTCATACGTGAGGCAATTGCATTTGCAGGCGAAACAGAGGATAGCAGCAGCGATCTGATTCTTCCACCATATCCCACCCGACCTCACCTGGACAACGTATATCCCCCAGCTCTTCCTTCCACAGATAAATTCGCCCAAAATGGAGATACAGGTAGTCCTCATGAATCTGAGGAAAGGGGGGGCGTGTTTAAATGGGTGAAGGCCATGATAGGTGCTGCAGCAAAAACATCATTGACTGTAGTCGGGATTGTTGCCATCTTGAGTTTGTCGGGATTTGAGCTGAGGCTGAGGAGACCGGATAATCGATTCGAGCTTTCACAAGTATTGAAAGTGCAAGGAAATGGAAATGATGAGAAGGAAGCTCCACATGAGTGCCCGCCCGGGAAAGTTGCGGTGGTGGAAAATGATGAAGTACGCTGTGTTGTCAAGGAAAGAGTCGAAATCCCTTTCGACTGTGTGGATGCTACTCCTAATGTGAGGTATGGTTTAGGATGAATTTGAAAATAGATAACGCACGTTACTACTACATGCATATATACATTTTGTTGCGAGTAAGATGGTATGGTAATTTGTTTGGAAGATGGTACAGTACTGTATTGTTGCCTTAGGCTGGTCCAGATTATTGGGTTGGGAAAATTTGATCGGCATTTCCATGCACACATTCAAGGTCCTAACTAAGGATGGAGAAATTTAACGAATATACCGAAATACCAACATATCGTACCGTATCGTGTTGAAAATACTGAAAATTTCGGTACGGCATGGATATCGTATCGAAGTTTTCAGTACGGTATCGGTATGAATTTTTGAAAAGTTCGGTATTTCGATATGATATTGTACTGATATTATTTTTATTTAAATAATTTAATTATTAATATAAATAATAATTATTAATTTTTGTTATGTAGACTATTGAAAATTTATTGATTTTTTCATAATATTTTTGTTGTAGAGAATTATGATATTTATTAATTTTTTTAATTATTTTGAAATTTAAAATTATATTTTCAATATAATCGGTATATACCGGTATTTACCGAAATCAAAATTTTTGGTATAAGCGGTATATACTGATACCGTACCGAAATTAAAATTTTCGATATAAACAGTATATATCGGTACCGTATCAAAAATTTTGGTATATCGAAATTCTGGTATCAGTTATCGACCGATATCTTCGATACGGTACGGTACGTCATCACTAGTCCTAACTTCACTAGCACCCATTTCTTTTTTTACATAAAAGTAACTGTGAGGCCATTTCTTTTTTTCCATAAAAGTAACTGTGAGTGTGTTTACTTTTGAGATTTGTATTCTTTATTCAATTTTATTTTTTTGATATCAAATTAAATATTTTACTTTTTTATTAATTATATTATATTAATTTAATTTTTTATATTCAAAATATCATATCAACTTATATTTATATTATATTCCATCTATTTATCTACCATGCCTACATTGTCTTTCTATGTCCATCTCACATTTTTTGTCATTCTTTTTTTTATAAAAAAATATTACAAACCTTAATCTCATTATAATTTTTCTAATAATATTTTTAATTTTAATTGAACTAATTAGTCTTAATTTTAATTTATAATTATTTATATCGTAAAATAATTATTTTTACTAATACATTCTTAATTATTTATTAGCTATACATTCTTAACATAAACATGCAACGTGCGGCGGAGAAAGTATTAATCAATTATATTAATTTAAAATTTTAATATTTAAGATTAAAACCGTAAATATCTTTTTTATTATGAAAAAAAAAAATAGACATTAAAACACGGTTCAAAAGCAAGTAAGTTTTTTTCTTTATTACGAGGAGTGGATTATTTTTTTTTATACAACATATTACATATAATAATTATTTTATTTTAAAATATCATTATCCGTAATATATAGCAAGAACAATAGCTATATTATAGAAGGCCAAATTGATTCAATGGAAGATTTTTTATTTTTGATTTTAAACAAGCATTTAATGATTTATATCTAGAGACAAATAATAATAATAAAGGCATGTGAACAAGGTTTGGTGCGGCAGAGCACCTCCCAGGCTTGTGTTTGTGTTTGTCTTTTATTTTAAAAGATATTTTTTATAAAAAAAAATATTGTATTACCTCCTTTCGGTTCTAAAGATCACATTTACTTTATTTGTGTTATATTTGAATATTGATTGTTATATCAAAATCTAATACAAATTAAAAAAAAGAATTGCAAAAATATTTTTATTAGTGTCTTATAATATTAATAGAAGATATTTGTACAAAAAAAATTAAACAAATATGAGGATATTTTTAATGTTAGTACAATGACGCAAAAGATAAATGTGACCTTTAAAAACGGCCGAAAGAGAGTAATATTACTATAGGATAGCGAATAAAAATATTAATTATTTATACCGCTAGCCGTTATTTTATATATTGTATTATATAATACATTGTGTATATAAATGCTCTCTCCGTCCATTAAAATGAGCTCATTTGGATCCGACACGAATATTATGAAAAATAAATATTTTATTAAAAGTGTAATAAAAGTAAAAAGTTAGTTGAACGTATTTTCAGAAATTCAGTTATAAATTAAAGTAAATTGAGAGATAATATTATAAACTTAGCGGTATTTATTGTAAATAAGTATTGAATATATGATAATAATTAAATATTGATTGTTGACTTTGTCAAAATAAGTAATAAGATAAATTTAACGGACAGATGAAGTATGTATATATATAGGTGTGTGTGTGCAACAGGGTATATGCATAATATATATTATGTATGATGTATGCATGATCGGCATGTAATATATATTAGATATTAAAGTGCATGTGTGAAAGTATAGGAATGAATGAAAGATGTAGTGTAGGAGAGAGAGTAGATAGAATGTGATTGATGGGGTAATTTACAAATGATCTCATTCACTGGTGTATATATAGACAAACATAGATATACATTTATGGCCGTAAAAGAAACACATAATGTCGACGATGAATCTGTGTTCTGTACGCAAATATGCTATGTGTACAACACTCTTCGTTGGATATTTTTGTACAGATAATGTGCTTCGTTAGAATTTTATTAGAACAAATATTGTGGAAAAAAATTATAGTGAAGGAAAAATAGTATAACATTCTTGTTCTGATGCACCCCTTGTTGTGAACGTTATTTGAGATCCCTTAACCGACACATTTTAATTTTCTATACCAATTTTTCAAATATTGCAATCGGTAATGCCTTGATTTATATATCCGCTAAATATTATCTAATGAAATTTTTTTGCATATTAATTTCACTATTCTGTTGAAGATCATGACTGAAATTTATTTTTGGTGAAATGTATTTCGGTCCATCTCGTTTAATGTAACTCCCTTTCAATTGAGCTATACAAGCTATATCATCTTCATACAATGTGTCAGAAAATTTTTATCGTCTATTATTAACTCGCAATTTTTCAGAATATATTGAGTCATTAATCTCAACCAAATACATTTTCGACTAACTTCATGTATTGCTAATATTTCAGCATGATTTCAAGAATGACAGTTAAAGTTTATTTCATTGATCTCCAAGATATCACAGTTTCGCTAAAAGTAAATATGTAGCCAATTTGAAACTTGGCTTTATGAGAGTCTAAGTAACTATCCTGCATCGGCAAAACCAATCAATTCATGTCGAGAATCTTTCGAGTAAAATAATCTGGGATCAATTGTTCTTTGGAGATAGCAAAAAATGTATTTAATCTCATTCCAATGTCGTTGAGTAGGCGATAAACTGAATCTTGTCAATAAATTTATAGAAAATAATATGTCAGGTCGGGTGCCTTTGGCAAAGTTCATTAATGCAACTATATCACTCATATATGACACTTCTGAACCAAGTGTTTCTTCATTTTTTTTTCTTTTGGTTTAAATGGATCATTTATTGGAGCTAGTGCCCTGACGATCATTTGAGTACTTAGCAAATGTGATTTATGCATAAAAATTGTTTTAGTACCCTTTTGGTATAATTTAATTGGTGATAAAAATCTCACTTTCTAAGTGTTCAATTTGTAAACTAAGGCAAAATTTTGTTTTGCCCAAAATCTTTGATTTCAAACTTCTTTTTTCAGATATTCAATTGCTTTCTGGATTTCATCAGAAGTACCAATTAAATTGAGATCATCAATATATACAGCGATGATTACAAATTATGACCCATTTTTATTTATAAAAATACATGGACAGACGGGGTCATTTATGTAACCTTCTTTTGTTAGGTTTTCGCTGAGACAATTATACCACATTCAACCTGATTGCTTGAGTCCATACAAAGATTTTTGCAATTTGATGGAATATGATTCTTTTGGCTTTCATTTATATGATTCAGGTATGTTAAACCCTTCTGAAATTTTCATATAGACATCATTGTCTAAGAAGTCATAAAAAATATGCAGTAACTATATCCATTAATCGTATATCAATATTTTCGCGTACTGTCAGACTCACCAAATACTTGAATATTATTCCATCAATGACCGGTGAATATGTTTATTCAAAATTAATGTCCGTCTCTGGGAAAACTATGGGCTACAAGTCTTGCTTTATATCTTGTGATATCATTATTTTCATTTTTTTTCCTCACAAACACCCATCTGTAGCTAACAAGTTTCACATTTTCAGGTGTTTGGACTATGATGTTGAATACTTGCCATTTATTCAATGAGTCCAATCTCAATTGAATTGCGTCTTTTCATTTTGTCCAATCATCTCTTGCCGACATTGTTCAACTGATTTTGGTTCATAATCATCATTATCTTTCATTATATCGAGTGCTACAGAATATGCAAAAGCATTATCAACATTTGTTTTCCGTTCCAATATTTTCCACTCGTGGTATAATTAACAAAAGTTTCAATAGCTTCATTCTCACTTTCATCAGAATTTTTAGTATCAACATCTTCAGAAGTTGTACTGACCTATTTAGGTATTTGATTATTATTGATATTTTCACCGATACTCACAATTTTCTTCTTTCATGAATTTTTATCCTTGGAATCCAACGGTCTGCCACGTTTTACGCGGGTAGTATGTTCATTAGCACTCGGAACATTCTCTTCTCGGATATTTATTTTAGCCGGTGACTTTACTGCTGCAGTATATAACTTCGTAATTCTGGTAGCATCATTAAAAGCATTAGACAATTTATTTGTAAGTTTTTGCAAATGCATAATTTTTTGAATTTCATGTTCATTATGTTTCATACAAGGATCAAAGTCAAATGGTATTTTCTACAAAATTTCTTTTTTCAGTTGATTATTGTCTCTCCCTAATATCAGAAAATGAGATTCATTAAAAATATACATTTATGGCTGTAAAAGAAATACATAATCTGGATGGTGCATCCCCGTTTCGTACACAAATATAATATGTGTACAAATAAGAAGCTTTGTCTTATTTTCGTCGTGAGAGTCATTAAGGGTGTGTTTGCTTGGGGATTGAATTTTGAATTTGAATTTTTGAAAATTTTGAAATAAAAATTTTTAAGTAATATTTGTTTGGAGGTTTAAATTTTATAATGATTGTGTTAGAAAAAAAATATTATTTTAATTTAAAAAATGATATATTGATGCGATGATTTAAAAATTTTGATATATAAATATT